GGGAGGTGAAGCGGATGTGTTGCTGCCTATGGGGGCCAAAGTGGAGGCGGGGAGTGGTGGCCGTAGGTACGGTGTCGAGGGTCAGCTCCACCTCTGGCGCAGGTTCAAGCCATGGTGCAGTAGTGGCCGCAGCCGTGGGCATTGAGGTCATCGTCATTGGAGGCGGAGGCTGTGGGCGTACGGGTGGTGTGGGTCGCGACGTGGACCTTAAGGATGGGCACCGATGGTGGCGGATCTAGTGCGGGACCCACCCGCATGGGGATGAGGGAGGGGGGGCTACGCTGTGGTGGCCGCTGGCAGGCGGCCTGGCGTCCTTGGCCAGTGCCCTCACCTGGTGGGCGGCTCCCTCGCCTGGTGGGATGAGAGATGGAGGAGTCATCGTCGCACGCGTGGGAGAGGAGGCGTCGGGGGAGTCGCGCGGGGTGGGAGGCGTCGGGGCTGAGGGGGAGGCGATTCGCATGGATAGGCAGACGGACGAACAAAAACAAATGTCGCACCAAAAAATGTCCACGCTTTGTTCTTTTTAGTTGTAGGAGAAATTCTAGTGTTTCTGAGATGGTTGTTGATACAATCATGGAATCTAGAGATGCTACATTTTTTGAGAATGAATTTCCCATGAAAAATGCACCTAGCACGACTGGTCATGAATTTATAATTCCCCATGAGCATGAAAATTTTACTCCGATAGAACAAATTGAGGAACCCTATATGCAAAATCCTGAGAAGGATGACACTATAGTCACTAAGAAAAGTAAGAGACAGAGGAATACAAAGTCTTTTGGTGATGACTATATTGTGTACCTTGTGGATGACACACCAACGACCATTAAAGAGGCATATTCCTCTCCTGATGCTAACTTATGGAAGGAAGCAGTACGGAGTGAGATGGATTATATTATGTCTAATGGAACTTGGGAAATAGTTGATCGTCCTTATGGGTGCAAGCCTATAGGGTGCAAATGGGTGTTCAAGAAAAAGCTTAGGCCTGATGATACTATCGAGAGGTATAAGGCAAGACTTGTGGCCAAAGGTTATACTCAAAAGGAAGGTGAGTATTTCTTTGATACTTATTCACCGGGTTGCCCGATTGACTACAATTCAAGTTTTGCTTTCCCTGGCAGCCTCTTATGGTCTTATCGTTCATCAAATGGACGTTAAGACAGCTTTCCTAAACGGAGAGTTAGAGGAGAAGATCTATATGGATCAGCCGGATGGGTTTGTAGCAAATGGTCAAGAAGGCAAGGTGTGTAAATTATTAAAGTCATTATATGGCCTAAAACAAGCTCCTAAGAAGTGGCATGAGAAGTTAGAGAGAACTCTAACATCTACTGGCTTTGTTGTGAATGAAGCTGACAAATGTGTGTACTATCGGTATGGTGGAGGTGAAGGAGTTATTTTATGCTTATATGCTGACAAATGTGTGTACTATCGGTATGGTGGAGGTGAAGGAGTTATTTTGTGCTTATATGTTGATGACATACTGATCTTTGAATCCAGCCTCAAAGTGATTGAGGAGGTGAAGGAATTTTTATCTAATAATTTTGAAATGAAAGATTTGGAAGAGGTTGATGTTATTCTTAATATCAAGTTTCTGAGAGAAGGTGATGGTGGGGTAACTCTGTTACAATCCCACTATGTGGAAAAGGTGCTGAGTCGCTTTGAGTTTAGTGACTGTGAACCTGCTCCTACACCTTATGACCCTAGTGTGCTATTGAGGAAAAATCGGAGAATAGCAAGGGATCAATTGAGATATTCTCCGATCATTGGTTCGCTCATGTATCTTACTAGTGCAACAAGGCATGACATCTCATTTGCTGTGTGCAAGCTGAGCCAGTTTGTGTCAAACCCAGGAGATGATCACTGGCGTGCTCTTGAGAGAGTGATGCGCTATCTAAAAGGCACTATGAGCTATGGTATTTGTTATACCGGACATCCGAAGGTGCTAGAAGGCTATTGTGATGCCAACTGGATCTATGATGCTGATGAGCTTTATGCCACAAGTGGATATGTGTTTTTGCTTGGAGGTGGTGTTGTTTCCTAGAAGTCTTGCAAGCAGACTATCTTAACGAAGTCTACAATGGAAGCAGAACTCACAACATTAGACACCGCTAGCTCTGAGGCCGAGTGGCTTCGTGATCTCCTTATGGATTTACTGGTTGTTGAAAAACCCATACCAGCTATTTCTATGAACTGCGATAACCAAACTGTGATTACGAAGGTTAACAGTTCTAAGAATAATATGAAGTCTACAAGGCATGTTAAGAGATGACTAAAATCTGTCAGAAAATTGAGAAATTCTAGAGTAATAGCGTTGGACTATGTTCACACGTCTAATAATCTGACAGATCAATTCACTAAGGGTCTGTCATGCAATGTGATAGAAAGTGCATCGAGAGAGATGGGTTGGAGACCCACATGAAATTTACTATAGTGCTAACCTGTTCTATGTGATCGGTGATTCTGTGAAGTAGGATGGTGAAACAAGCTAGTAGTAAATTATGAGGAAAGATCCTTAGTAAGACTCATTTCTGATGCATATCTTTCCTTTCTGTAAGGCAGGTTGGTTTTTACCTTAATGTGTTTCAAGTGGCTTGCTAAAGCAAAGATGTTGTCATACAGAACATCTTTTGAGGAACACACATATACAAGTCAGACTGTTGGTCACAGTCTATGAGATTTGGGTGATCTTTAAATACTCATGAAAGGCACTGGAATATGACTTATATGCTGCAAATAGAGGGAACACATTTTGCAGCCTAGTATCAGCTAAGGACTTTAGTGACATTCACCTCACACAAAACTGTCAATTCAAGGCTTAGTCCATTGTTCAGTTGTGACTGAGTGAAACTATTACTCTAGATGGATGTTCAACTTAACAGTCTCCATCGAAACAGTGGTATATAAAAGAAATGTGGTTCTGAGACTATTTTGTTACAAACCCTAGAGTTTGGTGGGGATTATTGGATATATTATGGGCTTGGCCCGTATAATATTTAATAAATCAAATAAAACTCTATGGTCCGTAACATTAAGCGTTGTATGGTTTAATACCGTATGGGATTTTGACTGAATGTTGACTCAGCTTATTTGGTTGGAAATTATCCATCTTAATTGAGAAAGTTGAAAAAAAGGACAGAGAATGCCACACGCTGCTGGCCATTGCTGCCATTGGCCCGGCTCGGCCTGGTCGGGTGGTGGTGTGCGGTGTGGTGTGGCGAGCGAATGACGGGATGGGCGGGCGTGGCCAGATTTTGCCACTTAATCCACATAATTACGGGAGTTTCTCTCTTTTATGGTGGAGGCGAGTTGATTGCGCCAGTTAATGTCTCACTGTGTCTCCGTCTCCTAAGTTCTTCCGCTAGCTTTTTTCCTCCCCACCGCAGGCATAAAAGGAAAAGTCCTCCGTCAGTCCAATTCCCCCTTCGCTTCCGAGAGACCACATCTCAGCCACCCTTGGGTTTTCCCCGTCCCGTACCTCTGCGCGCACAGAGCAACGGGCGAGCAGGTGCCTCCGGAACACTCGTCCGCCTGCGAACCTTGCACGGGGTGTGCAGCGATTAGGTTTTTAGGGAGCGATTCCGCGACTACTCGTCCACGTCGTAGACGTCTTCTTCTGAGTGATCGCTCGTGGAACAGCAAGGTGCCTTCTTCCTGGTGACCGTTCATGGGACTACACTGCGAACACCTTTCTGCATCGACTGTGGTCCACAACTTCGAGCAACGCACTATGTCTAGTGCGAATGGAGTCTCCGATGCCCTCGACATGGGACCATCTGCTGGGTACACTTTTAACTCTCTGATTATCGTACTTTGTGTACTTACTGCATCGATCGATATGTCATACTTGCATGCAGTAGCGTTTGTTAGTGATATACACATACACATATATGTCGTCACGAACCTGCTGATGTTTTATTTCTGGATTAAATTGACCATAAAAATGCCTAATTATCTAACAGCGACGATAGGTGCGTTGATAGGAAGGAGAGGTGTCCCGTACATCTCTCTCCTTCAAAAGTTTTTGTTAGTCTAGTTTACTTATGGTTTAGTCCAAATAAATCTATCGACATTTCTGATTAGGATTTTGTTACCTGCGATAAACTTGCACTACGAGGTCGCTGTTGCATGCGTCGATTTCATCGGCAACCGGGGAGGGGTGCTTCTGGGTACTCCCAACAAAGATAGTTACTCCAGATCGTCGATCTCATCATCAATGGTCGCCAAGAGGAAATCAAGGATCGAAGGTGATGAATCTGTGTCTTATGATGTGCCCGACAATATGATGGAAATGCCGATATTCTTTCATCGATTCAGATGCGTTTTTGACTTGGTTCCAGAACGTTGAATCTTGCGGTTTGTCCCATATTTTGGGATTGATTGTTGGATTCGGTATATGGATCGCAATCTGGCTTTGGTGTTTGACAAGGCTCGGTTCATATAGAGCATCGAATGCATCGAGGAAAGTCACGAGGTAAGAAGACGATGGAAGAATTTTGATAGAATATTGTGCCTTAGTTATTTTAGATTTTTTTTATGTATAATTTGAGGATGTACTACGCTGAGTTTTAATACAACTCCCTCTTCCCTTGGGAAAAAAACTGCAGTCCACGAACGAATATGATGCACGTAGTTGATAGCCACCCCAAATGTACATCAAGTTTTGCAGGTCACATATAGTCAACAATTCATATATCGTACTGTGCATATCTTGTTTCTTGTAGTGGAATTCTGTGGCGTCTAGCAGCCAAATTAGTCGACCTACTCCTTTCGATATCGCAGGGAGAAAAACCGTTCTTCCACAACACGACGATATCAGACATGACTGATTCTTCTCTGCTCGCCTGCCAACTACTAATGCAGTCAAGGACTGGACAACGCCTATAAATGCGTCCCCTTGCCTCCCCCCTTGATGTGTGCACGGCACTCGGCACTGCTAATTGCTTCGAAAGAGAGAGAGAGAGAGAGAGAGAGACAAACGGAGTTCGTCCTTTTCGTCAGCCATGACGAACGGCTACCTGTTCCGTGAGTACATCGGCGCGCAGTCCACCGGCGTGCAGTTCACCGACGTGCCCATCAACGCGTTCGTTAGCTTCCACTTCATCCTCTCCTTCGCCATCGACTACACGCCGGTGGGGCAGCAGCCCACCCCGGTGCCGACCAACGGCGTGTTCAGCCCGTTCTGGGACACGGGCAACCTGACCCCCGCCGCCGTGGCCGCCATCAAGGCCGCGCACCCGAACGTCGCCGTCATGGCGGGGCTCGGCGGCGACAGCGTGCAGGAGATCGTCAAGGTCTTCTTCACCCCGACCTCCGTCGACTCGTGGGTGGCCAACGCCGTGGCGTCGCTCACGGGCATCATCAACACGTACGGGCTGGACGGCGTGGACGTGGACTACGAGCGCTTCGCCGACGGCGTCGACGTGGACACGTTCGTCGAGTGCATCGGCCGCCTCCTGACGCAGCTCAAGCAGAGGATGCCCAACATCGCCACCTCCATCGCGCCGTTCGAGGACCCGGTGGTCCAGAAGTACTACCAGCCGCTGTGGCGCAAGTACTCCAGCGTCATCGACTACGTTAACTTCCAGTTCTACGGCTACGGCGCCAACACCGACGTGCCCACGTACGTCATGTTCTACGACAACCAGTCGGTGAACTACCCCGGCGGCAAGGTCCTCGCCAGCTTCAAGACCGGCGACGTCACCGGACTGCTCTCGCCGGACCAGGGCATCAGTGGGGCCAAGGAGCTGCAGCGGCAGAACAAGCTGCCAGGGCTGTTCATCTGGTCAGCGGACAGCTCCAAGAAGAGCAGCTACGGTTTCAAGTACGAGACCGAAGCGCAGCAGATCATTGCCAACCACTGATCTGCCATCAGGACTTAGCTTAACAAAGGATCACACTTTTTACAATAAATAAATGAATAAATAATAACCTCTCAGGTCAGCAACAATTACTTGCAGGTTAATAAAAGAGGTTGGTGTTGATTTAAGGACCAGAATAATGGTGACTGAAAAAAAGCAAGTTTATAAACAGTAATAAGGATGCTGTTTGCGTGCAGTATTAATAAGAGTGAAAACCAGTCTATCCACAGCATGTGTTTGGGTTCTGCGAAGCACTAGGAGCATTGCTAGGAATCGGTAGATCTCATCGAGAACTATAATTTTTATATAAAAAGTAAATATTTATCCGACACTAGAAAAATATGAATTTTTTTAATACAACAAACTTTGGTACGTGATTCATATGCTGCTCGAACTTTATATTACTTTTTTGAGCATTTTAACAATTTGAAATGACAAAACTCAAAATTAGAAATTTGTAGAGTTTATGAGAGCTACAATTTTCATAGTGTCTTTATCCGACACCATTAAAGAGTGATACGATTTTTCTAAGATGATAAGCCCTGGTACACGATTAATATGTTGCTCAAACTTTATATCATTTTTGGAGCATCTAAACAATCTCAAATGATAAAACTCAAAACTAGAGATTTGTAGAGTTTATGAGAGCTACAATTCACACTTAAAATATTTTTATTTGACACCATACAAGAAAGGTATGGTTTTTCAAAAACAAAAAGCTATGGTACACAATCAATATGCTGCTGTATATTACCTTTTTGAGCATCTCAACGATCTCAAATGGAAACACGTAACTAGAAAAGTTGTAGATACCATTGAGAGTTATAATTTTAAAAATCATCTTAATCCAAGATACATGAAATAGATTTAATTTTTCTAAGGCGGAGTCTTGCCGTTAACACGCAAGTCTCATTTATCATATTCATGCTATATAATAAGATATTGCGTCGGGTAGATGCCCGTTTAGATCTATATAAGACCCGTTATAACTTTATATAGCTAAAAATATATTTTGAAACTTTAGGATCTATTGATGATCGTACAACTCTAAACTAACACTTTGAGGGCTCTTTTGACTTTCGAATACAGTCTCTTTATCAATATACTGTTTCTTTTACTCTAAAAAATAAAAAATAAAATAAAATAAATAAAAAATGAAATAAAATAAATAAAGAAAATAAATCATCTATTTAATGAATAGCATAAGATTTATTTTTTTATTTGATTTGGCATTATTCAACAAGAAATTTTTTGACAAATTCCTTTTTTTTTAAATTATGTGATAATTATGAGACCTGTCGAGCACCTCTCGTCGCGGTTAGCCAAGTGGATATACTGTAGGTGGGCTAGGTGATGTATGTGGGCTGCTTTTGGCTGCTGTTGGACTGTTGGTCAGTATTGTTTTACTTTCAAATTTCTTCCTAGCGAGAGGTGGCCCATATCATATTTCTATTGAAGATTAGGTACGCCATTTTTCTTTTATGTTTTTTAGAAAAAAAATGATTTTATTCTAGTCTCTTCATAAATTATACATACTAGTAAATATACCCGTGCGTTGCAACGGAAAAAAAGCTACCAAACGTTTACTGAAAACCAGGCCGAGAATGTTACATTATTTATTTTTTATATTTTCTATAAATTTTTAAATCTATAATTTTTTTACAGTGACATCCATAACATAAGTTCACATTGACAATAATACAACAATATACTATTAAATTTGCCTCGAATTAAAATACAACTTCACCGGTGAAATCATTTCTTTTGCTTCGGCTCCACAAGCAGCTGGAGCTGTTTTTAGACTCCATTTAACGAAATAGCTTAACGTTCTAGACAAAACAATTTCTAAACTTTAAAATGACTATTATGCCCTTCTCTATCCCTTCTATTTTTTTTCCATCTGCTTCTCTTCTCGTGGCCTCTCTCTCATCCGGTGGCCACCCGCCGTTCCCTAAGTTGTGCACCTTGCCATCTCCATCACGCTTACCGATGTTGGTGGTCCTCACGCCCTCCCTGATGGCCACACTCACGACATCGGCGGCCTGGCACGCTCCCTCCCATGTTGTCCGGCTGGGTTGGCTGGCGAACAGCTTCAGAAGCCGGTGCAGAAGCCGCGCAAAACGGGGACATACTTGTAAATATATCGTAATTTTAATTTTCATACTATGCATGTGTTGGTAGAGTTAGATATCGAGCTTTATGATTTCTTTTGGAACCCATAAAAATACATAATTCTAATATTTGATTAAGTCAGCAAGAAGTAAGTTGTTGTTGGAGACCTCTCTCTCAATTTCCATATGGCAACCCTCGTCGAGGATTGGAGTTGTGTATCTCTAAAGCTTGGAGATACATTTATTTTAAATTAGATTAGATGACAAACTGATAAAGATTTTAGTTCATGATTTGATTAGTTGGACCATCACTTGATCGAGGCTCTAATAACAAATAAGTTTTATATATAATCTTCATCAACAACTTGCAACTTATTGGTGGAATATTTGTTTATTAGGGGTTATAGAAGGGTCTAGAGTTCAAAGACCCACAGTAATGGATTTATTATTTATGTTTATAAGAAAAACAAGAGATATTAAAAAAAGAAGAAAAAACGAAAAAGGTCACGGAAAGAGAGCTGTTTATATATAATCTTCATCAACAACTTGCAACTTAGTGGTGGAATATTTGTTTATTAGGGGTTATAGAAGGGTCCAGAGTTCAAAGACACATAGTAATGGATTTATTATTTATGTTTATAAGAAAAACAAGGGATATTAAAAAAGAAGAAGAAAAAACGAAAAAGTCACGGAAAGAGAGTTGGCTACTGGAAAAAACTAATACTCTGGAACTTTTTTTTTTGAATTGCGGTAAGGAAACTCCACGGTGTTAATACGGAAAAAGAACCAAGATATATGAAAGTGCCAGCAGGACATAGAAACACAAATACGAAAATGACGCAGAAATAGAAAAATACGACGGAAAGGGAACACTGCCGTGTTACCAGAAAAAAAAGACATAGGGACATCACGAGCCGGACACGGAAATGAGACAGTATAATTAGGTTGGACGAAAAAATATTAGTGGCTAGAAATTTTGGCTCTTTAGTATTAGGTAGATATAAATATAACCATCCATTATTAAAAATCAAACACGGATGACAAACAGCTTACACTCAAAGAGTGGCATAGAAACAATAGCCGCCAACTAGACACCAAGTCTATTAGAAGACAAATATCCATTTCTAATGGTGCAACTTTTTATCGCGGGTTCATCTTTGAAAGTTTTTTTTATTGCAGGTTTGTTGTGTTATTTGACCTGTACATAAATACACATCTATAATCTATAAATCCATTATGTGTGTAGCTTAAATATGATAGAAAGGCTTCTCCTAGTTTTTTCATATATAAGTTATTCCTTATTAAAGCCCTTTTAAGCTTATATAATTAATTTTATAGTGTGATGAAGATGATGGCATTCTAGGTTTAGTTTAAATCAAACCATCTCAAATTATATTAAATTTATGTAAACTATTATCAACATTTATTACAACTTAGAATAAACAAAATATCCAAATATGTTTTATGTTAAATTAAATGATAATTATTTCATACGCTAGATATTATTATCCTTTCATATAAGTTTATCAAACTTAAATAAATGCTTTAATAATGTATGCTAAGAAACGGCCAGAGCACGAGAGAAACTGCGCACGTGGTATCGACCAGGCACCGTCCACTGAAACGACAGCCCCGGCCCACGTCTAGAGTACTCACCGCCATCCGGGCTCCACACCCGAGTCAACCTCAATACCACCTCACCTTCCGTACACCGGGCCCATACACCGTAGAACGCAATCCGCTCGCAACAAAATATCGGACGCCTCACCAACGGACAAACCCACCGCACCATACACCGGGTCCACGCAGCCTTCAGACCGTCCACCTCCGCTCCGATCGGGGAGGAGGCGGAGCGTGGCCGCGGCGCCGACCGAGACCGATCCCCGCGGTGGAGCAGAGACCTGCGCGTATAAATACCCGACCTCGCCGGCGCCCGCGAGCTTCGAGAAAACCTCCTTCGCCGCGCCTTTACCCTAACAGCCTACTAACTAGCTGCGGCGCTCCACTATCACTCGCTGCTACTGCACCTACTCCGCTCTGGTACTGTTGCTGCTGCTTCTGCTGCCGCTCCTGGTGGTGGTGGCACCCAAACCCTAGCCCCTGCCCTGATGTCGCAGCAGGAGGCTGCGGACCCGCCTTCGGCGACAGACGAGCGGCCGGGGGGTCTCCCGCGGAGCGGCTCCGCCAGCCGCCTCAACGCGCAGGCGCCGGAGTTCGTGCCGCGCGCTGCCGCGGTGCCCCCGCCCCCTCCGCCGCAGACGGTGGTGCGTCTGTTCGCGCCGCCGCCTCCTTCCGCGGCGTTCTTCGTCGCAGCACCCCCGCCTCGGCCGCCCCCGTTCGAGTACTATGCGGCGGTCGCCACCAGTGGGGGTGCTAGGTTCGGTCCCCACGCCGAGCAGGAGGCCGAGGCTGAGGAGCCGCCGAGGGACGGGAGCTTCGACGACCCCGTGCCCAAGATCAGGAAGCAGGTGGGTGGATGCTCCTCTCCGTCGTTCCTGGTGATCCCTGATACGATAGGTGCAATTAGAACACTAGATCAGGAATAGAATTTGCTCAATTTACGTCATTTTTGTAGTCTCACAAGCTGTCTACGTCATCCGATGTGCTTCCCAGTAGTCTCACGAGGAACGAATTTTGCTTAATGTGGAATACATCTTTTAGTCTCACAGATATGCTGGACACATGCCATGAAAATCAATTTGCTACTTTGGCCGCTTTAGATGTGTTTGCATTGAACAGAAAGGCAAGCATTGTTCAGATTGAACTGCCTGCTTTTGATGTGCCAATGGTAGTGTAGGAGGCTTAGGAGCTGCGTAGTGTGATGGGATAAGTCTCTGTGGTCATTCTTTGTGGGGCTGGTCTTGCTGCCCAGCATCTTGACTCATCTTGACTGGACAGGGACTGGACAGCAGCATGGGACTGGACAGCAGCACTGCCCAGCATCTTGACTGGACAACATCTTAGAGGACAGTATATTAGCATCTTAGACTAGCATCTTGGCATATGCTTGGCTGGCTAGCAGCCTATAAATATGTATCCCCAATCCCTCAGGTTGGCATGGCATTTGTGTGAGTTTGTGTGAGAAATAAACCAGAAAATTGCCCAAACTTTTACTGTCATCCTCTCTCAATGAGAGTAAGAATTCTGCTACTACCGAGAGTGAGAGTTCAACGACTAACATAGTGCACATGTTATTTAGTTGTGGTGAAATGGAGCAAGGGGTGGAGGTACATGAACTTACTGGGATCAGTTGACCGGTACAAATCTGGCAAATCCTAATATCCTATACAAAATCACTGTTTACTAGTATATTTAAGTGATGATTAGTGGAACTGGCTCTGGCAATTCCATTGCCTGGCTCTGCCCCTGAATGGAGCCGCTAGCAACCGAACTTGTCAAAGTTCTGGTATTTTGCTATTTGTGTACTTGTAGTATCTGTTAGGATGGATAATGTTTCATGGTAATTTCCTCATCTCTTGATGGTAGGGGAATTTTGGTTCATTTTTTAGTTTAAGCTAATGAATTGATTTCCTACCTTTCCTGCGTTTGATGTTAATAAATCATGTTTAAGAAATCAGGTAACAAGGACACGTCGTGGTTTCAGGATCTATTCTTTTTTATGTGATCTACTTCAATAACTCATTTAAGCCAAACCCATTGCATGCTGTTGAGAGGTAGATGTGTGATGCCAATTGGTGATATCTTGACTTCATACTATAAACAATCTAGGATCGTTTAATATTTGTAAAGTTCAACTGGTCAAGGAAGCAGGTGCCAAACTAACTTGGACGGTCGTATTGAATGAAATGACAAATTTTGTTATGATTGGGCTGTCTTCTCTTAGTTGTATCACGATTTCTATTGTTTAGTTGAGACCAGTGTTTTTAAGGCGCCGCGTAGGCAGTGAGGCACTCGCATGGAACAATGTGTCCTGGATGCCTAGCCAAAAGTATGAGAGATCCAACGGGACTGTAGTCAGAACAGAGGAAAACGATAGGGAACCAACCAGAAAAACCATGCAGCCGCCTCCTCATACGCACCAAATCCAACGCAACCTGGGTCATCTTCGGCGGCGGCGGCGGGTCCAGAAGGGGGCCATGATAGAGATCTATCTGAGGGAGCAGCGCAGTGAGGAGTGAGGAGTGAGGAGCAGCACCCAAAGGGAGGGAAGAAGCAGAGGGCAGGCTGCACGCGCACAAGCGAGAGTAGTGCGAGGGAGGGATATGTGGCGGCGCTGTACCTGCGTGAGAGAGAACCAGAGAGCCAGGCGCAGGCAGTGTGTGTATGCATGGGAGCGTGCATCCGTGTCTTCGTGACCTATTTACATGAGAAGGGGTATTTAAGGGAGGGCCCTCGTGGGCTGCCTAGTGGGATGGGCCATCCACTTCTCTTTTAATTTGCCATTTTCTGGTTTTCCTTTTTCCTTTTTCTTTCCTCCCCCTGCTGCTACTTTCCTATTTCTTAGGATGGTAAGGTGTCGCCTCACCTCCCCTTATCATTGTGAGGGGGTAGGTCGCCACGCTTCGCCTCGCCTTACCACCTTAAGAACCATGGTTGAGAGTGGCTGCACCACTACCGTTGTAATAATGATGCAAGAAATTTAACTTCTCAAATTTGTACCTGTTAGGATTGATTTGATTTTGATGGGTTAAGCAGTTAGACTTAACTGATTCTTCTGTTGGGTAATGGCAGTGAATAAAAAGTGGGCTTTGACTCCCTAATCTTTGGTAATGGATTGATTGTTCAAAGATCCCGTATCAGGGGCTATATTGGTGGGCAGGAAGCAGCATAGATTGGAGCTGAAAGAAGTTAACAGGCAAGGAGATGGAAGTTGTCACTGGTGATGGTGGTGGCAATGGCATGCACAGGGAAGGTAGGGGAGGAATGGTGGTGTCACTTGGAGGAGATAAGTAGACGAGGTTGAATCTCTTTTCTTGTTTGATCCAAAATGGGTACATGGAGTTAAAAAAAAAAAACTGGGTACATGGCTTCTCCTATAGAGACCTAACTTGACTCCCAAACAACTAATAAAATGAATCCTTATAGATTGGGTCCACCCTTTCCTAATAGTCTACATTCTTAGCTTTAATAGCTAACAGTCTCAACTTTCCTTGAAGAAGTAAAAAACCAACTCATGATATCAAAAGGTATCTTGCCGATGGGGTAAAGTTGATGGAAAAAAAAGGAAAGGGTGTGTGCAACCCTTCTGACAGCGGTGCCGCCACGCTGGGCTAAGCCAGCCCATGGTGTGGTGGCCCATGACATCCAGAGGGTAGATATTTTTATTCATTTGAATGCATGTTGACGGCGAAAGAACTTGACGTCCATGTTTAGAGTATGATCTGTAGTTCTAGTATCGACTAGGATCTAATGTATTCCATGCTGCTGGAATGTGGGTTTATAGTGTTAATGTGCTAATTAAATTGAAATTTTCAAATTGTGAACTTATATAGGACTATAGGAGGCTGGGTTGTTTGTGATGTTGAATATTTAATACATTATTATGGGAATTTTCGGGTGCCAATGGTTTGCTCTATTTGGTTGAGCAACCCCTATTCGATATTTTAATTTGTATTCAAGTTTGCTAACTTCGAATTCCATTTTATTCAGCTATTAGTTTGTTTGTTTCATTAAATTATATTTTTTCAGGCCCTAGAGCTCTGATTATTTAATCATGTTATTTGAACCAAATCATAATGTCATATTTGGTTCCATGATTTTGTGTTATTAGTGTACTTCATGGTTTTGTGTTATATTATACTTCACAGTTTTGTGTTATATTGTAGTTCATCTTTTTTTGTTAGCATTTCTAGTAAGCAATTGTTCATGGGATGCACCAATTGTACTGCAAAAGCATTATAGCAGTCATCTTGGCCGTTTAAAGTTGGAGAAAAGTTGTTGACATGCTCACTTTAGTGCAAAATTGTTTTATGAAATGCAGCAAAATTGTACTGGGAGTTTTTTGGGCCTTGATCATGTATTCATGTTGATAAAATGGTTCCTTAGTGCACATTGGGTAAACTAAAATTAAGTTGAAGATGAGGATGCTATTCTTCTGTTGGCTATCAAATATCAACTACCATTGGTGCTCTGTAGTTCCAGTTTGATGGTGCTTCATTTTATGTTTCAGTTCAGCCAGTGTTGAATTTAAATTTGATCTATTAAATTTTGTAGTCTTGTGACTGGTAGTGGCCTAGAAAATCCAGACAAAGACTGAGAGCGAATAGATCTCGGGAAATTGTGATAGATTGATATGGGTACAAGGAGTACAATATATATAGGCAAGGATCAAGAAGGGTTTATAGAAACAGGCAATCAACGGTGATCCTTGCCTAACTAATTATCACCTACCATAATCCGTAGAGGTAGCCCAGCCGATAGGCTTGGGCTTCAGGCCCATGGCCAGCCCATAAGGCGCCTATTCTAACACGCCCCCGCAGTCGAATCGTCAGCCACTCTGCACGTTTAGACTGGACCAGAACTCCGTGAACACTGAAGAAGGCAGCCCTTTGGTGAAGATATCCGTATATTGTGAAGAAGTGGGAACATGCAGAACACGAAGATCACCAATGGCGACTCGCTCTCGGACGAAGTGAAGATCAATCACAATGTGCTTGGTTCGCTGATGCTGAATCGGGTTGGAGGTCATGTAGACGGCACTGATGTTGTCGCAATACACCAGTGTGGCGTGCCGGAGAGGGGCATGCAGCTCTAGAAGAAGCTGGCGCAGCCAGGTGGCCTCAGCAACTCCATTGGCCACCGCGCGATACTCGGCTTCAGCACTGGATCTTGACACCGTGTTCTGGCGCTTGGAGGACCAGAAGACAAGATTGTCGCCAAGAAACACAGCATAGCCCGAGGTGGACTTGCGGGTGTCTGGACAACCAGCCCAATCAGCGTCGGTGTAGATGACAAGATCAGCCGAAGTAGACGGTCGCAGCAGGAGACCAAGGTGGAGAGTGCCTCGAACATAGCGCAGAATTTGCTTCAGAGCTGCAAGGTGAGGCTCACGAGGGTCGTGCATACGAAGACAGACTTGCTGCACAGCATATGCAATATCCGGCCGGGTGAACGTCAGGTACTGTAAGGCTCCAGCGAGACTGCGAAAGTCTGAAGGGTCAGAGACAGGGGCGCCATTTGCTACAGCAATCTTCGGATTGGTGTCAACTGGAGTGGAGCACGGCTTACACTCTGCCATCCCGGCGGGATCAAGAATGTCCAGCATATATTGTTGCTGAGAAAGAAGAAGGCCATCACCACTTCGCTGAACATGCATACCGAGGAAGTAATGCAATTCACCAAGGTCCTTCATAGCGAACTCCCGCTGAAGGGCTGAGATGATCCGCCGAAGAAGGCCGGGTGAGGAAGGTGAGGACGATGTCATCAACATAGAGCAACAGGTAGGCTGTGTCTGATCAGCGCTGGTAAACGAAGAGCGAGGTGTCTGACTTGGCTTCAACAAACCCAAGGGACAGCAAGTGTGTGGCCATGCGACTGTACCAAGCACGAGGGGCCTGCTTGAGGCCATATAGTGACTTCTTCAGGTGACAAACATAGTCCGGATGAGCTGAATCTTTGAACCCAGATGACTGCTGACAATAAACTGTCTCTGTCAGGTTGCCATGAAGAAAGGCGTTCTTCACATCAAGCTGGTGGATGGGCCAGCGGCGAGAGAGCCAGGGAGAGCACCGTGCGAACAGTAGCTGGCTTCACCACGGGACTTAATGTCTCATCAAAGTCCACACCAGGCCGCTGGGTAAAGCCACGGAGAACCCAACGCGCCTTGTGCCTTTCGAGGGAGCCATCAGACTGAAACTTGTGCTTGAAGATCCACTTGCCGGTGACAACGTTGGCCCGAGGGGGGCGAGGCACAAGATCCCAAGTGTGATTCTTCAGCAGGGCATTGTGTTCCTCTTCCATTGCAGCTCGCCAATTGGGGTCGGCAAGAGCGCTACGGAAGGTCTTCGGTTTCGATGACATAGACGTAGCGTGTTACGCAGCAGGCATCCGAAAACCGCTCTTCGAACGTGTGCCCATGGCGTGCTGGTTGGTCACAGGAGGGACAACAACAGCACCTTTGGGCAGTGGGAGCAGCGCGGCTGGTGGAGGCGCAGCCTGGGTGGCTGGTGCAGGTGCAGTCGGGGCGGCGGTGACAGGAGCAGTCGGAGCAGGCGATGGTCGAGGCCGGCGCGTGTAGTGGTAGGTGAAGGCACGGTCTGGACGAAGACGCGGGAACCTGGGCGGGGGCCCGCGGGGTGCCTGAGGAGGTGACACCGGCGCCGGGGAGCCCGCGGTTGGTGTTGGAGACAGCGAGCTCGCGCGAAGCGCTGGCGGGATGTACAACGGGCGAGGTGGAGCGTCTCCAGTCGTGCTGGGTGCGTCCTGAGCCGCGCGTGGCGTGGGAGGGGTCCCCGGCGTCCGCAGCGCAGGCGGGGTGTAGAGAGCGGGCGGCGGGGGATCAGCAGTGGCCGCTGGAGGATCAGTAGCAGCCACAGGAGGCGTCAGGGGCACCCCAGGCACAGTCTCAGAGGGACCGGTAGGGGCGCTGGTGACGCCAGAGGTGCTAGATGGTGCTCCTGCAGACAAAAACTTGTGCTACGGTCCAATAGGAGCGGGCACAACATCAGTAGCATCAAGAACAATGTTTTTAAGGCGTCGCTTTGGCGTCGCCTAATCGGCAACGCGCTACAGGCGGGACGACTTCGCGGACGACTCGCCTTAGATTGGTATGGCGTCTGCCTTACTACCATGGCGTCCGGAAGTCGTCGATTTGGCGTCCGATTCGTCGAAATTGAGCAAGGCGGGCGCTGCCTGCGGGAGTGACAACGGGTGGCGGCGAGCGCGCCAAGAGAAGGCTAGCGGCGGGCGCGGGCATGGCTGGGAGGAGGGCGGGCTGCAAACGCGGCCAGGAGGCCGCATGCAGGCGGAGGCTGGGGCACGGACGGGAGGAAGACGAGACGCAGCAGCGGGACGGGAGCAAGCGAGCGCCGCCATGGGGGAGGAGAACGAAGGGCGAGCGGAAGAGCTGCCACCGTCGGAGGCAGGAGAACCATCGGAAGGGACTTCAGGTGAGAAGCAGCGGGAGAGAAGAGAAGCGTTGGGGAGAAAGCGGATGAGCTGCGACTGGCGACTGGGATGGGAGAGAAGCGTTGTCTCTTAGGGTTACACACTATATATATATGAATATGTTGGACTTGGGCTGAAAATACTGCTATTGGGCTTCTTTTAGCCTGCTAACAGGCCTTTCTCTTTAATAAAGTCCACTTATCTCTTATTTCCTTTTCTTTTTTAAACATATATGTATGTAAATGCTAGCGCCTAGAAAAACGCCTTGTAACGCCTAGGCTCGCTTGGATGGCCGTAAGGCGTCGCCTCGCCTTACGCCTTACTCGCTTTAGCGTAAGGCGGTAGTTGGTCGCCTCGCCTCGCTTTACCGCCTTAAAAACCTTGATCAAGAAACTCAAAGTCCGCCGGAATACTAGGACCATTGCGCTCAGCAAAGGGGAAGGCCGTTTCATCGAAGATGACGTGCCGGGAGATGATGACTCTATTGGAGGAGAGGTCAAGGCAGCGGTATCCTTTGTGGTGAGCGGAATAGCCTAGGAAGACGCATAAGGCAGATCTAGGAGCGAGTTTATGAGGAGCGGTGGCGGACATGTTTGGATAACACTTGCAGCCAAAGACTCGTAGGTGATCATACGCCGGCGGCGTGCCGTACAGGGCAAGGTGGGGCGTGGAGAACTGTAGAGTCTTGGTGGGCAGTATGTTAAGGAGAAGAGTCGCTGTGGAGAGGGCCTCCACCCAGTAGGAGGGAGGCATAGACGCCTGAAAGAGCAGTGAGCGAACGACATTATTGATGGAGCGAATAATGCGTTTGGCTTTACCATTTTGAGGCGAGGTGCAGGGGCAGGACATACGAAGATGGATGCCCTGGGTGAGGAAGAAGTGATGGGTGCTAGAGTTGTCAAACTCTTTCCCGTTGTCGCACTGGACAGCCTTGACGTGGGCGCCAAATTGGGTGGAGGCGTGGGCGATGAAGTGGGCAAGCGTACTGAAAGTGTCAGATTTGAGTGGCAAAGGAAAAGTCCACAAGTAGTGAGTGCAATCAAGTATAACCAAATAGTATTTGTAACTAGAAGCACTGACAACTGGAGATGTCCACAAGTCACAATGAATAAGATCAAACTTGCTAGACGCACGAGAGGTGGACGTATGAAAGGGCAGACGAACATGACGCCCTAACTGAAAGCGTGACATAGATCTGAACAATCCTGAATGTGACAGGAAACACTAGACGCAAGCTTCGACAACGCCTCATGACCGGGGTGGCCGAGACGCCGATGCCACAGTGGGGAGGGAGCCTGAGCGACAAAGGAGTGTGCTGGAGGTAAGCGCAATGGATAGAGCGGCCCGGAGCTATTGCACCTGACGATCTCGGTCCGAGATGGAAGAACCTTCACAGAACAACCAGCGGGGTCAAACTCAACAGAACAATTGTTGTCGATAGTGAATTGACGAACAGAGATGAGATTCTTAATAAGTTGTGGCGACACAGGACGTTATTAAGACGTAAAGTAGGGGACAACTCTGTGGAGCCAGTGGTAGTAACAGGAAGCATAGAACCATTACCGACAATAATAGATGGAGTAGGATACCGCGGGAATAGAACATGTGAAAGGGAGGAAGACTGAGATGTCATATGTGAAGTAGCACCTGTGTCGAAGTACCACTCGTTGGACGAAGGAGGGGTCAGCGACGTCGTGTTGAAGGCGGAGGCGAGGGCCGTCGGGTCCCAAGAAGGGAGGCCGGCCACAGGGTTGTAGTACCCCGGGGCGACCCATTGTCCTGAGCCATCAGGGGCAGCGACGGCAGCAGGCTGCTGGTGGGCGACGAGGGCCTGCTGCTGTGCCTGCAGATGAGGAGGCACCGGGATGGGTGCCAGCGGAGGACGAGGACCCCTTGGCCACATCTGAATGGAGCCCATCCATGGGTTGTAGATGCTGGGCCAGGGGCGACCACCGGCGGCAGGCTGCTGGGCGCCAGAGGGAGGGCGGTGGCCTCCAGTGCTGTTGCTGCCACCAGGGCCCCCCTTTCCACCGCCGCCGCGCCTGCTGCGACGATTGCCGTTGGAGGACTTAGGGCCGCCAGCGCCCCCGGAGCCCGTGTTGGACGTGGGTGAGGCAACACTGGAGGAGCCTATTGCGGTGGAGGCAGCTAGAGCAGTGGCAGGGGACTCCTTGTTCTCCAATGTGAGTTCCTCGAGGATAAGGTCATCACGAGCCTCCAGGAAGGTGGGGAAGGGCCGGCTGCGACGTAGGAGGGCCCCGACGTGGCTAAAGCGCTCGTTGAGGCCACGGATCACGTTAAGGACGAGGGTGCGGTCGGTGATCACTTCGCCAAGAGCCGTGAGGTCGTCAGCCATCTTCAGCCGGCGGCAGTAGTCGGTGACGGAGAGGTCACCCTGGACGAAGGTGCGAAACCGCGTCTCAAGGTGGATGGAGCGAGCCTCCCGGTTGCCGAGGAACTGTGACTCGACGGCGAGCCAGGCATGCCGGGCAGTGGAGCCCTAGGTGGAGATGATCTCGGCAAGGTCGTCGGTGAGCGTGGCGACGATCCAGGACTTGACGACGCAGTCCATCCGAGCCCAGTCAGGGGAGATCAGGGCCGGAGGTTCCTCGCGGACGTGGTCCTGAAGAGAAAACTTGCCGAGGATGAGCAGGAACTGATCGCGCCAGCGGTTGAAGTTGCCGGAGTCGACATCGAGGACGGTGGTGACGTGGTTCCGGATGTTGTTGACGGCGACGGCCTGGGCGTGCAGTTGCAGCAGTGCCATGGCCGAGGCGAGGTCGGGAGGAGACGGTGAAGATGTGCTGGAAGAGGCGCCGCCAGGTGCACCGGGGGCGGCGGCGGCGGCGGCCGCGCGCGCCAGGGCTTCGCTGGCGCGGGCAGCAGCCGCGTCGCGATCTTTGGCGGCGGCTGTAGCCTCCTCCTCGGCTTGGGCAGCGCGAGCCAGGGCGGCCTGGCGCTTCTTGTCGAGAAGTTGGGCGGCGGCGGTGGCGTCGTTCGCCTTCTCCTTGGCCTGGTGGGCCACGATCTCATCAGCGGTAACGCCCCCAGACCTGGTGGGGGAGGACGGGGTAGTGGGAGACATGATGCGCGGCACGGCAGGGCCGGCGCGCAGGTGTGTGCAGCGGAAGGGAAGACCTAAACCTAGGCGTTTGATACCATGAGAGCGAATAGGTCTTGGGAAATTGTGATAGATTGATATGGGTACAGAGAGTACAATATATATAGGCAAGGATCAAGAAGGGTTTATAGAAACACCCAATCAACGGTGATCCTTGCCTAACCAATAATCATCTACCATAATCCGTAGAGGCAGCCCAGCCAATAAGCTTGGGCGCCAGGCCCATGGCCAGCCCATAAGGCGCCTATTCTAACAAAGACAAATTGTTGCATCTTATTATGTGTTGTAAAATTACATCTGTTTTTTTTCCCTGTGTTTTCTGATTTCTCAAAATCTGACCTTGTAGGTGGAGTATTATTTCAGTGATATAAACCTGGCCACCACTGAACATTTGATGAGGTTTATTTCAAAGGATCCTGAAGGATATGGTGAGTCGCGTGCTTGCTTCTGAAGCTAGTTTATTTTGACGTGCACATATGAAGTTATCACATTGATACCAGTTGTTGAATTTATGTTTTTTCTTTTTGAAAAAAATATCATTATTTAAAATTTATAGCTTCTTTCCATCATTAGAAACCAAGTCATTTTTAATGACTTTCTATTTTAAGGTGATGGTCAGAATCATAGTAGGCTTTGAAAGGTGATATTGACATAGTCTGGAGGTTTAATATTTGTATATATAAAGGGTATTGTTCAATTACTTACATTTATTATATCCTGTTTAATTTGTGACATTATCCTATATACTGGACTAATTTTCTGATAGATGCACTTTTGGTTGGATGCATCTTATCAGGATAAGATCCATTCAGTGTACTCAAAGATTTGGTTCATGGAGCAAATGGTTTTCGGTTGTTTTTTCTTACATCTTACCGTGAACTTGGAATCAATTGATTTTCACTAGTGCTACAACTAGTTCCCTTTTTTGAAGTGCAATCTATTATACATTCTCTTTTATTGAAATTAATAAAAGAAAAATGGTTACAATATTTATTAGAATAGTGCCCTCAATCTCCTTATGTTACAGAAATGAGTTGTCTTAGAATAAGACCTTTTGGTCATGACTTCAGTATGCTATTTTTTTTATTCAACCGCTTCTTTTGTGGAAGCTGATTGTGCTTAGTGTGAGAAATCTAACTTTTATAATCAAAGTGGACAAATGCTTTTTAGTGGGAAAACTAATGTACTTTCTCACTCAATGTAGTGCCAATATCAGTTGTTGCTGGCTTTAAGAAAATTAAGGCTTTAGTGCATAGTAACTCCATGCTTGCTTCTGCTCTTCGGACTTCATCAAAGCTTGTAAGTTCCATGACAATCCAATTGGGTAGTTACACTTGACCCTAACATACACTATTGTGTTCTGAAGTTTCTTACTTCATTCAATACTTCATAGGTCATAGGCATAAGATTAGAGGCATCATACCCTCACTGTTGGTTATGTCCTCTGGAAATCCATGTTGCTTATGTCCGCAACCATATTTTTAAATTATTTTGGGCATATATACAGGTGGTCAGTGATGATGGAACAAGAGTAAAACGTGAGCAACCATTTACAGAATCGGATTTAGAAGAACTCCAGGTGACTAGCAACGCTTTGTACATTGAATGGCACTACCCCCATTAATATTGAATTATTATCTAGTTATAAAAAAACCTTTGCTAGACTGTCAGATAAGGAACACCTCTTCTGTTTTGTAGGCCCGAATTGTTGTTGCAGAAAATCTCCCAGATGATCATTGTTACCAGAATCTGATGAGGCTCTTTTCAGCTGTTGGCAGGTAAACGTTAATGTAGGTCTATATCAAGTGGACCACTTTCTATTTACTCATGAAAATGGAAAGAACCATACACTGTATTTCTAATTTATTTTGTTTTGTCATTTGCCAGTGTGAAGACAATTAGAACTTGCTATGCTCAGACTCCAAATGGCACTGGTCCAGCTACTAACAGATCTGCAAAGCTAGATATGCTTTTTGCCAACAAAGTAATGACCTTCTTTGTTCGTACTTTAATATCATGTTATCGGGAAATGAACTCTAGTAGCTACTGTAAATAAATATGTCTCTTAGGGTCCATTGAATTGGAAATAGATATGCTTTTTGCCAACAAAGTAATCGCTATTCCTGATTTTGATACTTAAATATCATACTGCAATTGAAAACTGTTTTGTACTGCTATCCATAAATAACTACTTTTGGTAGGGTCTGTTGAATCTTCCCTGAACCCTGCACCCTAGGAAAGTAAAAAAGAATAGAACATTGTTCAAGTAGTAACACGTCAGGCATAATTGGTTAATGGGATTTTAGAAAGCCTACTTGCTCCCCAACATCTTGTCCTTGCATTGGAGACACTAGGCCCATAACTGTATCTGCAGCCCAGGAGGGTGGTGACAACCCTAGGGCAACTACCACTGGCCTTCATGCTGTCATGAGTCATTGTATTTTTAGGAAGTTTTACCTTTTGTTAGTTAGGAAAAATCAGATAATCTATAAGATCCCATGTCTATATGAATCATATGTATCATGATTAATCAAGCAAGAAGTTAAGGGTCAAGCCCATTTCTGCTGTTAGCCGTCACTCCGAGCCTCTTGTGCCGCCTCTCTGCCATGCTGCACCACCTTCATGGCCGCTGGTCACATCTCACTCCTCAGTAATGCAGGCACCTAATACCATCTTTTCTTTATCGCTTCATAAACCAAGCCCCGATCCTGACATTTGACACATATTGCACTGAGAACATAAAGGAAATATTAGTTTGTGGGTTGTTGGTTCATGAGTCTTTTATATTCTGACATTTTTATTTTTTCTTGAACGGGCTTCAAGAGATGCCTGTCATATGTTAAGAGGAATGAAGAACCAGTTTACCAAACAAACCCAAAAATGAAAACAAAATCTGGAAGTTTCTAACATAATTTCATACATCGACACCATATTTAAGTAAAAGGCTAGTGCTGAAAAAATAGGAACACTGCTTCAAATGGCTAAACATATCAAATAATAAGATACGAAACTCGGTTTAAATGAATCATTATATTTTATGCAATAGACAAATTATATGTCTTCCTTTTCATCATAGTCTTGTCACATGACGGTTATGTCCTGCCAAAATAATAATAACTTTTATTTGATGGCAGCTTCATGCTTTTGTTGAGTATGATACTATTGAAGATGCTGCTAGAGCGGTATGCGTTTTTATATAATGTTTCAATATCACATTTGTTTTGTAAATGCATTATCTTATATTGTTTCATGAATTACAGATTGTGGAACTTAATGATGAAAGGAACTGGAGAAGTGGGCTTAGAGTTCGATTGTTAAGCACTTGCATGGTAACCTTCCATTGAACTTCATTAATTGCACATGGGATGGCTTAGTGTTGTATTGGTGTTTATTGTTCAACTGCTTACATCTAGATAGCAGTGAAGGAGAATAGAATTGGTGGAATTGGATATATTGCATTGTGGTACTATTCCCATTTACTCTAACAAGCAGGAACTTGGCATATTACCTCAAGATGTCATATTACAAACTAATCATATTACAAAAATCCTCTGGGGCTTTGAAACTGCTATACTACTATGTGTACCAATATAGCAGTTTCAAAGCCCTGGATGAGTCTTCCAGAAATAGGTTTATTTTGAATCTACTTTTTAGTGAAGCAGAAACTGCCCAATGCCCAAAGGCCAAAGCCAGGATCAGAACAATAGGGTGATGAGGAAAACTTATTTGGAAATTTGAAAGCTCTCTTTAACTGCTCTGCTATAAACATTATAACACAATTTTTTCTTAAAAAATAGGGACAAGCCATCCAACTATTGTCCTAGTTGGTTTTGCTGTTTTGGCCATTAAACTAGAAAACCAGGAATCTTTGACCATCCAACTAATGATACTGTTCATATTTGGCGATTCGGCAGTTTTGATGTGGCTTGGTTGACATGGAGATAAATGCTGACATGTGGGCCTGACTGGCACTTGTCGTTCATGTCACCAAAACCACCCATAAAAACAGCCAAATGGTCAAATATGAATGGTGTCAATAGTTGGATGGTCAAAGATTCCTGGTTTTCGAGTTTAATTGGCAAAACCAAACTCGGACGATAGTTGGATGGCCAAAAATAGATTCCTCCCAAAAAAATAGTGTGTGGAACTCTATGCACTAGTATTAGAGATAGCTGTTGTACATGACTTGTCTTGTATCTATCTTGTACTGCAAGCCATTTCCAGCTATATATATGCAAGGTCAACCAACCCTAGGGGTGTGAAGTATTTTCCTACCTCTCTACATACATGCACTTTAGGAAGATGCATAAAACCATGAAGAACATATTCATTATTTTGATTTCTTATTATCCCCTTACCAAGTTTCTGGGGTCAACTGAAAAGTGCAGGTAAGAACTTTTTTGATTAACTTTAGTGTGAAGAAATTGAGGAGCTGTCTGTCATGCTCTTTTGTGTCCAATCATATCTGTCTATTTTATTTTTAATTTTTGCTACTGATTTTACTACAGAAAATTATTAATCCAATTATCGCTTATGAAACCATTGTTTTGGTAAAAGAGTAATAGACTATTGTAAGTGGTGGAGCCACAGATTGGCTTGGACCAAGTCTGAAACCCTGTTAAATTATGCGTAAGCTTTTGATAATCTTGTTTTTCTTACATTTTTATGTAGGTGTGCAGTGATTTTTTTTTTGTCTAGGACCTGGGCTGCAGCATGGGCAGCCTGGGGCGTAGGTCCGCTACTGACTACCGTTCAACTGTGCATAGATATCCACCCACCTATCTTGTGTTAAGTACTTAAGTATGTCAAGACATGCACCTGAATCGAAATTTTGAGCTTATTAGTCTTAACATGGGCATGTTTTAGCCTTTACCAGCATGACTGGTTTGATTCCACCTTGTTTAATCACAATCTATCGCATTTTGAACTTTTAACTGCGACAAAGAAGAAAGGACTCCCATTTTTGTTTGAATTCTGATCTGTTGGCAAATTTTTGTGAACTTTTTCCCTCGAACACACACGAGAGCTGCACATTATTATATTAGGAAGACCAAAGGGGGGAAAGAACACCATACAACACCACACACTCACACCTTGGTTTCTAAGATTACAAAATCACCTGGAAAAACACAACAGCGACCCCTGACCTAGAATTCACTCGTCTGGGCAGCAGACCAGTCAGCTAAGAAATACCTCTGCACCTGCAATCCCCCCAGTCTCAGTTTATCGGAGGCAAGAGATAAGGCACTACTCTCTCCAGGTTGGTAAAGGAAGTCGTTTTGGACAAGGTTTAAATCAAACATTAGGAATATAAATCATGAATAACTTTTAAGGTGTTGAGTTTGGAAATGTGAAAACCATATGAATAGATTTGTCTTGAAAAAATACTTAAATAAAAATATACATATATCACTTTTCAATAAATATTTTTATAGAAATAAGAGGTCAAAGTTATGCTTTGAGGACCGTGTCGCTGTCCAAAACGACTTCTTTTACCAACCTGGAGGGAGTACTATTTAGATTTGGAGAAACTCTGTTGAACACACAGTGATTCCTGTGATTCCAGAGTGTCCATGCTCCTAAAATGACATAGTTCAGGCTTTTTCTTGCCAAACCAGCAACAGCCTTGCTGGCTCTATCACACCATCCTTCAAAGGATGTCTCACCCAGCTGAGGTGAGAGGCTTTGCATACCGACTGTCTGCAGCAGGCCAAACCAAATATCTCACGCAAAACCACAGTGCACCAAAAGATAATTTATTGTCTCTGCATCCTGGTTGCAATGGAGGCAATGAGAGGGATGATGAAGACCATATGCCTAGCCAGCATATCCACAGTCCAGCACCTGTTAAGTGTGACAAGCGACGTGAAGAAGTGACATTTGCCCGGTGCCACGTCTTCCAGATCCTCTCCCAAGATTCCAACCTCACTGCTCCCTGGGAAAATCCTTCATAAGCCGACTTTGCTGTGTACTGTCCACCTGTGTTGAGTTTCCAAATATGAGATCATCAACACCAGGTTGTAGTTCCACACTAGACAGGATGTCCCATAATTCAAGGAATTCAACAATGGCACGCACTGAAAGCACACCTTGCACATCCGAGATCCAAGTCTGGTTGTGAGATCTTCCAGGACGGTTTATTTATTTGCTCTCATCTTAGGAATGAGAGTGATGAAGTGTGGAGCAAGGTCAGCAATGCATTGTCCATGAAGTCACCTATCCTTCCAAAACAGAGTACATGCTCTATCACCAACTTCAGAGATGACCACCATAGAGAAGAAAGCCCTCACACAGTGATGCACATGGATAGGGAATTCCAGTATTACACCCATGGACTACTTGGCTTGGTTTTTTTTTCAGCCAGAGCCACCTCATTCGTGACAGGCCTAAAGCCTCCAACAGGTCACAGGAACACAGTATCACACAAGAACACACACGAACACGAGTGGTTTGGTGGCTGGAATGACTTGCCTTTTCTGGTTTTCTCTTCTACTAATAGCCAACATGAGCTACAAATCAGGCTGTGATAGCCTCTAATAAATGCAGAATATTACCAAACTAATCGGCCTATTACTTCAAACAATTACTCCATGCTGAAATTTAGCTAAAGTAAATGCTATGAACCTAGACACTAAGCATGCACCTAGACACAGGATTATTTCCAACAATTCGGAGCGCCCAACTGAGGTTCTGAAGTGCTGAGATGCCAAGACTGCCAAGTTTGCGCACGCAGGGTGGGGGCGGGTGCAATGTGCGTTGTGCAACGCTGCCAGGCAGACCTTCCTCCTTTTCCAAAGAAAGCTTTGCGCCTTTGCCTGATCTTATTTATTTCCTTGATTGCCCAAGGTGGAAGGTCTACCACCATATCAAGATAAATCAGCATTGACATGAATAAATTGCACTAAAATCTGCGCGGCCACCTTTGTTAGAAGTTCAGCTTTCCAACGTAGGAGCTGATGAGCAATCAGATCGATAATAGGTCACACCTGTTCCTTTGTCAGCTTCCAAAGAGAGGGGCAGACCCAAATACATGGGAATTCCAGCAACTTACATGGAAGGTGACCTTGTACTGTACTGATATCAGTGGAAGTAAACTGGATAGGCTAAAGAGGCTGCTCTTCTGTACATTGGTCTTGAGACCTGACTCCTGATGCCTCACCAAACATTTGTGAACTATTATAATCAAATCATTTGAAGTTTAGCATCTGTATACTGTGCTGTTCTGAACTTTTTTGTTTATTGCATGACAATCATGTCTACAGTAAATGTTTTCCCTAACTTGTTTTTGTATTGCAAAACAATTTTCTAATTTATTTGCTGACTGCTTTTCGCAATTCAGACAAAGGGAGGTAAAGGGAAAAAGGGTGGGCATGAATCTGATGGGTATGGTGAGGAGGAGAATGTCTCCACTTCTGATCAACCAAATGATAAACATTTAGAAGGAACACCTCAAATGTCAGATGTGCCTGGAGAACACATGGTATGACTTCCTTTTACTTTCTAGTCTCGTTTATTTTAATAGTGGAAAAGAAAAAATGAAACAGCTATGCTTTGCCTTTGCCAGAATATTTTCAAATATGGGTACTATGTACATGTATCTTTAAGCAGAACATGAGAATGCTTATTCTTGGTTTCAAGGATTGAAAAAACACCAGATGCAGAAAAAAAAATGGACCTCAGCACTGTACTTTGCCTTTTCCAGCTGACTGGTTTTATGCGTGTGGAACATATCACATCTGTTTATACTGGATGGTTGCCACCACTTTTTATCCCTGCTACTCTACCATTGGTTTGTTAGTTGGTTCAGAATCAGCGATATATTATTGTACAAGGATTTATTGTTTGTGGTTCTCATTAGAAGGTTTAATGATCGATTTATTGAATGTCTGGTTGTTATACATGAAAGCTCACTAAAGAGGTTTATTTGTGACAAACCTGATATCATTTTGATTTCTTACAGACTGAGGATAGCACTGGAGATATGGGACGAGGACGTGGCAGGGGACGTGGTCGTGGTGGCAGGGGCCGCGGGCGTGGTTACCATCAACAGAACAACAATCAACACCACCAGAACCACCATCAGCACTACCAAAACAGTAGCCACCACAGTAACAGGAGTAGTACCCATCCAGTGGGAACCCCACCATCTGGCCACTCAGTCAAGATTGAGCAACCATCTGACCACCCAGTCAAGATTGGGCAGCAGCAGGAGGAGGCAACTCAGTCACAGCCCCTCACAGCGGCTAACAAACAGCCTCCAGGTCCCCTCATGCCGGATGGCACACGTGGATTCACCATGGGCAGAGGGAAGCCGCAAACATTGACGCCCAGAGTATCCGAGTCTGAACCTTGAACAATGAATTCGAACCCCACAGATAGGGAGATGAGACTAATGGGTTGCTGTTTGCCATGTTGGTACATATGCTGAGAGACTTGCCTTTTAGAAGTCTGTCCTCGGAGGTTGCTTTCTAATTTATGGGAACCATTACATTTCTGCTTGTGCTGTGTGTACTTCCAAAACCAGCAGACACTGGTTTTCGACTAGTACGATTGCGGCCATTTTGTAGTTTCATTTTTGCCCCCCTTTTGCAGTTTTGCGTGCAAGACTGAAGCAAAAACTCATGTTAAAAAAGCTGGAAAGAATTGAATCATTGTAAAATAAGATTGTGTTCCTTAGCCGTTTGCAGGAGACTGATCATTTCGATGCTTTTACCTTGTTTATTATTATCCATTGATAATTTGTCGCTGAAGAACGGTGAACATTACCCACTTGACCAATTGAATTATCAGAGCCTGGCAACTCCCTGTAGTAGGGCTACGCTAAGTTAGGTCAAATGTATATCTATGTTCTATACTCTATTCACTATTCTACTTCTATACCAAATTATAAGTCCTAGCTTTTTTAATACATATCTTTTATTATATATCTAGATGCATGACAAAAATAATATATCTAGAAAAAGTGAAAATGGCTTATAATTTGAAATATATATGTTTGTATCTAGATATATATAAATTTATATTATCCCATGCGATCCACATCATCACAAAGACCCACCAAATCACTAAGCTCAAACATTAAATTGCATTTACACAAATGCACTTAAATAAAAGATAAGAAGACTACAGTTAACGAGGTGGAAACGTCTCCATCTTCCTAACCATGTGGCATGCCCTGCTTCTATAAAGCAATAAGCCCACAAGCATGGTCGGAACCAACCCAAAATTCACTCAAGTGATCAAAGATATAACAGTCCAACAATTGACCCATAGTAGCAATGCGCGGGGTATTTTCTAGTCCTATATATCTTATAGGCATAACATCACTGATCTTCTATGTCAACATACAATTCATCTACATCATCCTTCACTAAATGCCACATCATCCTAATTAATTTCAAACTTATTAATGTAGCCATCCACGTCAACTTCCACTAAATAAAATTATTATTTTCAATATATAAGAAAAATACGAGGTATCTATCCACGATCCACACAACAATGCTTGGGATATCTTCTAATAATTCACAAGGAATAACCAATTTACCATTTTTCATTTCGAAGAAAGGATATGTTTCTTGGTTGTACATCTTGAGAAGCCAATTCGTTGAATATCATTGATAAATTGACTTGCTCCATAATAAAAAGGTAAGAAGTTCTGTAAGGATATGGTTTCTTAAAACGGTAATTATGGGAAGCGGGTGTCCGTCCACCCGGACACTCCACGCCGCGATGCTAGCCCAACGACCGCCTCTTATATGCTCGTTCACTCGCTCCGCAACCGTTCTAAAAAAACTCACCTCACCACCACGACCGCGTTCTGCTGCGCCGCCTCAGCTACCGCACTCTCCACTGTGCCTCCCCTCCATCGTGTCTCCGCTTCGCCGGCCGGCATCTCCACCATGCCCGGTCTTCCTCCCTCTCTGGCTTGGCCGCTGAGCCACGGGCGATGAAGCTGGGCTGCGGGTTGTTGCAGGCTACAAGGCAGGGAAGCAAGCCAGCGGCCAAAAGGAACAGAGAGGGCACACATTCATTTTCCTTTGACTATTTTGAAAAGTGAATTTTCCAAAGCCTTTCAAATCCACTTTAAAATTCAGTTTTGAGTTCAGTTTCGAGTTTAGACAAAATTCAGACAGCACAATAAAAATAATGCACCAGCATGAATGCATAAACATGTTTCTAACCTTACGATGGATTTTAATTTGGCAAAAATTATTATTTCCCTACATTGACATGCTCACACGATTGCATAATTAAATCAATTTAGGCTATTTTAAAAGAATGCAAATTTCAGGGTGTTACATATAGGTTTTTTTTGGCTTTGCTTGAGGAGCAGCTTCCCTTGTGTAGCTGAAATTATTCTAGAAAAAGTTAGTTAAAACAACATTTCATGGTACATGGAATGATGAAATGTCCATGATGTTCTTAGCCTTTTTCTTTTTTCCCTTTTTTTTCCTCTTGTTTCTCTGCTGTTTCTTCCTTTCCTTTGTTATCCTGACATTTTCTCTTTTCTTGCCTCTGACCCTTTCTTCCTCACCCCTGACCCCGATTTTTTTATTTTTTAGCCTTTTAAAAAAAAATCACAAATATGCCCCTGGAGTTATGATTTCAAAATATGGAACCTTAGGTTGGGACCACGTTGGCGGCGTAGACGCTGACATGGCAGCCAGCTCGGCGCCGTGGATCTTGGCGCCAAGCTTGGCATCGAGATCCACAGCGCCGATCTTATGTTTTAACCCGGCGCCCAACCTTACTGCCCGAGCCTTCTTCCTCTCCTTTCTCCTCCCTCTTGGGTTTTTTTCTCTCCCCACTTCGCCCTACCTCACGAATCGGCATATTGGACCTTCGAAACTTTGATTTGATCCGTAGATCTTCGAGAGCAAGGTATCCTCACTCCCTCCTAGTTTTTTTAAATCGATTCGGTATATATTAGTCGGATTTTTCAACTTAAGAATCGTCATTACTTAGGGTTTCATACAATTTTAATATTTATATTATACAACCGTAAGATGCCAAGGCGTGGAAAAGCTACCAAACCAAGGTAACCTCAGTGCGCGTTGTTATGATATGGGTTCATTGTTGTGGATCAAATGGGAAACCCTAGGTGTAGGGTTTAATGTTAATTGCTTTCGGTTCTTAGAACGAAAATGACTAAATTATAGTTATGGCCGGATGACCGAAAATGCCTTCGACCCATTGCCTCTGCCTAGTGGTGTTCCAGTGCCCATGTGCTTTTGCGACAATCTTTGCAAGGTAGCCAAGTCCGATGAAGAGGACACGTATAGGCAGAGGTATTAGATGTGTTCCAATTTTGCGTTTGAGCCTACACTTCGTCAGTGCCGCATTAACAAGATGGTGAGGAATTGATGTTTATGTCATATGACATCTTGCATGATTTTTTTGTTTTGTAAGAAATGTATTTTTTGCAGACCCCTCCACCACTCTGTGATTTTGAGCAGTGGATCGACACTGAGATCAAGCCTGAAGACAAGGAATGGATGCAGAAACTATTATGGTGGGAGGCAGAGGACAAGGAGATGATGGAGAAGAGACGCGGAGAGGAGGCTGCAAAAAAGGAGCACAAGGAAGAGGAGGAAAGAAGGCGTGTTGCTGCGTACAGGGAGGAGAGGGAGAAGAAGCTTGAGCGTGCATGCCGAGCGAAAGTTGCGATGGAGGAGAATCCCGATGCCCTGAGGAAGGGAAAGTGGCCTCTGAAAGCATCTAGGCCCCTAGTTGGGTTTCGGTGATTAATGACAATACGTTATTACTATGACTAACGTGTGTTTTGTAGAAGCAATTAAGTTAGGTCATGGTAATGGAGATCGATTGGGCAATCAAGGTGGTCATGCCCTTACGATGGAAATCGTTTCAGTTTTCAAAGGATGGACGGCAAGGTTAAGGATGAACTAGTTCTAAGTGTTGATTGGAGTTGAAGAGACACTTAGAGTAGTTTAGGACTTCGTTTTTCCTTTGGCCGTACTATTAAGGGGGGGTATGGACGGGTAGCTTGACCTAGGTGAGTCTAGTGAGTTAGGTGTGGTGCACACTTGCTAAATCTAGCACTAGGTAGCTCCAAAATAGCCCTTAGATCCAATGGAGCAAACTTCATTCACGTATGATCGAGAGTTGGAAGTGAATGGAGGGTCAAATACTGACCGAACGCTGGCTCAGAGTCCGGTCAGTTCATTTGACCAAGGTGATTTCGTCTGGTGCGACCGGACGCTGAGAGGTGAAGTGATCGGACGCTGAGGGCCAGCGTCCGATCGACTCCAGTAAGGTTCCAGAGAGGAAAAATCATGACCGGACGCGTCCGGTCAGTGCTGACCGGACGCTGGCCAGCGTCCGGTCACACTTTAAACACTGGAGTTCGGGGAGAACTGACCGGAGCGTCCGGTCACCCCGTAGAGGCACATAACGGTTCGTTTTTCAGCCGGTCTTATAAATACTTCCTCCACTCGTGCGTGGGGGTACTTTTGCTCATTCCAACAGCTGAGAAACATCTTTGAGAGTGCCAAGAAGAGCAAGGTCCTAGTGAGGTGATTGAGATTTGAGAATCCCAAAGAGAGCCCTCATTAGTGAGATTAAGAGTAGCAAAGTGTGCATCCACCCTTCTCATTAGGCTTGTCGTGGTCAAGTGAGAGTTCGTGCTTGTTACTCTTGGTGATCGCCATCACCTAGACGGCTTGGTGGTGATTGGGAGCTTGGTGATCATCCGGAGAGCTTATGGATGACCCAACTCAAGTTGTGAGCGGTTGTGGGTGATTCACCGCAACGGAGTGTCGAAGAATCAACCCGTAGAGAGCACTTGATCCTTGCGCGGATCAAGGGGAGCTACACCCTTGCGCGGGTGCTCCAACGAGGACTGGTGGGGAGTGGCGACTCTTCGATACCTCGGCAAAACATCGCCGCGTTCCTCCTTCTCTCTTTACTTTGAGCATTTACTTTAAGCAATTCAATTCTTGTCATTTACATTCTTAGAATTGCCATGCTAGAGTAGGATTGGAATATAGGTTGCTAAACTTTTGTGCGTTAGATCAATAGAAACACTTTCTAGGCATAAGAGGTTAATTGGGCTAACCGTAGGGCTTAATTATTGCAAAGAAATTTAGAATTAGCCCAATTCACCCCCCCTCTTGGGCATCTTGATCCTTTCAATTGGTATCAGAGCCTCATGCTCACGTATTTAGGCTTAACCGCCTAGAGAAAGATGTCTCACGGGGATGGACCTCCTTCTATCTTTGAGGGGGATGATTTTCCTTATTGGAAAATTCGCATGGAGGCGTACTTAGAAGCTCTAGATGTTGGAATACTTAGAGCCGCCTCACAAGGCTTCCCAAAACCTAAGGATGCTAC